TAATAAAGAAGTCTAATAAAGAAGTCTAAGCACTCTGAAGGCTTAATAAAAAACAGATCGTTTACAGACCCCCGAAACGCCGGCTTCGTATGGATGAGAGGCTGGTTTGGTAAAAAATGTGTGCGTTTAGGCCAGGGTTCGGCTTCGTGTGGACGGGGCCTAAGTTCCTGAAGTAGGGACTGGTCTGACAGCATTCATTCTTAGTTCCTGTAGTAGGGACTGGTCTGACATCATTCATTCTTAGTTCCTGAAGTAGGGACTGGTCTGACAGCATTCATTCTTAGTTCCTGTAGTAGGGACTGGTCTGACATCATTCATTCTTAGTTCTGCTGCCTGTGTTCTCACTAGAACTAAGGAAGTAGAACACATCAGCCTGGTTCTGAAGTCCTTCCAATGGCTCCATATAGCTCAGAGAATAGACTTTAAAATGCTTCTGTTAGTCTATAAATCACTGTATGGATCAACACTTCAGTTCATAACAGATTTGTTGTCAGTGTATCAACGTCCCAGACCACTCAGGTCTTCTAGTTCAAGCCTACTCTGTACACCCAGAACTAGAACCAAGCTTGGAGAAGCAGCATTTAGTTTCTATGCTCCACTGATCTGGACCAAACTCCCAGAAGACTGTTAAAATGCTAAAAGCCTGAGTAAATTTAAGTCAAAGTCAAACCAATTTTGTTAGAGCTGCCTTTGATTGTTGAAGTCAAACTATTAACTGAGGTATTATTAGTGTAAGGTTCTGATCTAACTCTACCTGCTTTCATCATGCCAGAGGCTTATCAGCATATTATTTTTTTATTTGCTTTTATTCTGGTTAAATTGTTTCAGTTTTTTACAAATGTTTCTGCTTTTATTTGTCTTCTATTTTATTATATATCTTATATAAAGAACTTTGAATTGTCCATGTACTGAATTATGCTATAGAAATAAAATCGTGACCCTTTTGGTCCTCCAAACTCTGGTGATAACATTTATCACTATGTTATAAACCAATAGCTTCTTACCACATTAGTTGGCAGCTTGTGCCCAGGGAGGTACTTCACATTTTCATGGCTGGTGTTGATTATCTCGGTCAGTTTGCGCCCGTTCACTAGCTCCTCAAACACCCACATCTTTACAGTGTTGTCAAATTTAGGGTTGTGAGCAACATTTGCACCAACAATCTTGGCAATGGCAGAGCCCCTGTGTGGTTAAGAGTTACAAGTCAGTGTTTTATATACATGGTGTTTGATTCACTGGAGTACAATACAACATTTACGGCTTCTCTTTAATTATCAGCCGCTGCTCTCTGACCTGAAGGAACCGGCAGGCTAATCAATAGACAAACGGGTCTTGCTCTAGTTTAATCTAGTTGGACTCGGGCTGCATTTGCTAATAAACATAACAAATCCTGGTATTAATTATTTGCAAGGTAAATATGAAGAAATTTCATGTTATCTAATCTAATGAAAAGTTTGAGGACTGCTATGAACTGAAGTGGAGGACCCAGACGGCTCCTATTATCACAGCCAATTTACCATCTCTCTATGCTAAAATTTTAAAAATGGGCAATTTACCTAATGTGGCCAACTACAACTAAAAGCTGCAAGTTGAATAGTGCTATGAAATATAAAAAGGGATACATATTTTGAGAAATATTAATAAATATAGCCAGCTTTGGCTACCATAATGTTTTAATGTGTGCAGGGCAGCCATGCTGGATTTTGAGATCAGGATTGGTGGGAAACCTCTGACCTGTGAGAATTTTTCCACTTCAAACTCAGAAAATTTCCCTTTATAATAGCTAAAAAGTATATTTTATAAATATATATCTAATTAATAATGCAGGGCTACATAATGGTACTTTAACATAAAAAATAACAGGAGTAATCAGTTTTTTAGGTGAAGCAGCCATATTAGATTTATATGTCAAGATTGGAGAAAAACATTCGGAGGAATTTTCTTTTTTTTTTCTTTTGTTTAACTGATTAAAACTGCAGCCTTAATCTATTCAATCGGTGCCACTGGATAGTAAATATTTCCTTTTGAATTAATTTCAGTTACCACAACCTTTTGCACAAAGCAGCATCGTCGAATTTTAAAGCTTTTTATTTTTTTCTCGCTCAGCAGTCTTTCTTCAATCTCCAGTAGGGCTGAAAATAATCGGATTAATTGTGATTAATCGATTACAGAAATAATTTTCAACCAATTTAGTAATGGATTAATCATTAACTGGAGTATAGAGACTGGAAATATGCTTTTAGCTGAGAGAGGAACCCATTTGGAAAAGTAATTACATCAAAATTGTAAAAAAAAATATATACAAAGATTTTGGGGTTTAAGATAAAAATATGTTTTCGTCTGTGAATACGCTCCATCCAGAACTCTTCAAGTGGAAAAGTTTTAGTTTCACCTGCTTTACTTTCATTAAAAAATCTTCTTTAAGGAACCTTTGGTTATCCGATTATTAATCGATTACAGCTACAGTGTGTAACTTTTAGCGACATCTAGCGGTCAGACTGCAGACTGCAGCAACATGAACATCTCCCCCCC